CACTTGCTGCTCTTTTCCAACAGGCTGGAATTTCATTCTGACCACCCACATCAGGTGAGTCACATGCCTCTGGCTTCTTCAAGCACCTACACTAATGTGTACACACACAATTAAAAACTTGTAACATGACAAAGGGTCTTTTACTAGAAAAAGGAGGCTTTCTGGTGCAGGTCAGTGGTACAGTGCTTGCCTAGCATAAACGAGGCCTTGGATTCAATCCTTAGCTGTGAAAGAAATAAAACGAGAGCTGGGTGTGTTGACACACGCCTTTAATCCCAGCACTCAGGTGGCAGTTAGGCAGAGCTGATTTAGAGGCCAGCCTGATGTACAGAGTTCCAGGACAGCTGGGGCTACACAGTGAAACCCTGGGGGGTAGGGAGGAGGAAGGGAGAGGGAGAGGGAGAATGAATGAGGACACAGGGTGGTGTGGTTCTTCACATCCATAATCCTAGAACTCTAATGGGGCAGGGTGATCATCTCAAAAAGAAAAGAAAAAGCTCCAGAAGGAGGAAGTAAATCTCCAGCCTATACTGTCTCACTATGCAGTTCTAGCTGGCATGGAATTGGCGTGTGCTAAATCTGAGCTTCTGCTGCCTTTAGCTCTGGAAGGCACTGGCATTACAGGAGTATGACACCATGCCCAAGTCAAACTCAAACTCAATTTTTACCTGAATTTTAGAATTCTCACACACTGTTTTTTATTTTAAGATTGTGTCTCCAGTAGCCCAGCCTATTATACATATGCTGAACTACTGATTCTCATGTTTCTACTTCCCAAGTGCTGGGATTACAAACAGAAGGTAAAATGTATTTGTAAAGATTTTTGCTCGCATATGGGTCACACTCGTGCCTGCTGGATCCCTGGATTAGGCTTACAGATAGTTCTGAAGGTACTACTTGGTAGAGTGGGTGATGGCAATCAAACCCCATTCTCTGAAGAGCAACAAGTGAGCAATAAGCTAATAAGACACTGTGAAGTTGAAATTACAGCAATAAAGAGAAAACTCAAGAAAGTAGAAACAGTTGGTTCTCTAGAATCAAGAGCAATACCATGAAAAAGTGGCTTCAAAATGGATGACAATGAGACCCTGCTGCAATAAAATAAAAAAATGTAAAAGATGACCCTGCTGAGCAAGGGACCAGGAAATAAGTATCAGGCCTGGGGAGTGAAGCATGCAGTAAAAGCACTGGCCTAGCAAGCATAAGATCCCAGATTAGATAGACACTAAGCACTGCTTAAGTAAATTTAAACCTTCATCCAGCTGGATGTGGTGGGCATGCCTATAATCAATCCTATTATCTGAGAAACAGGTAAGAGGACCAAAGAGTATTTGAGGCCCCCCAGGCCAGCCAGGAATATAAGACACTATTTTTAGTTTTTTCTTAAGAGTAATCTATAATAAAAATAAGCATGACATTAATAGTTAGTATTTACTAATTGTGTGTAGGTGCCTAAGAATTTTTTAGAGAAACTGGACGATTAGGACCCAAGACCAATCGAATCTGGGCCCAAGAACTTTCTTACAGACTGTGCTACACTGCCTCCTAAAGGTAATCAAAGGCTACAGGGCAACAATCACAACAACAACAAAATGATCAAACTTTTCTCAGCACTGTCACTAGTATTAACATGGGAAAGAGATTTCCAGGTGTTTCTTGGAAGAGCAAGCTCCTCTTCAAACTAAGGTTAGCTACAAACTAAGAGAAATGACGAGTATTCAAAGTGGAAACACCTAAAATTCAATCAAGGAGACCCTAAGGGTTTAACAGAAGGTCCTAAATCAAAGTGCATGTCTCCCAGACCACATTAAAAGGCAATGACATCAAGGGACGGGAAGTCGAAGTTCAGAGATCAAGTTTAGAAATGTCTTTATCTAGGAATGAATGCTGCTGAGATCCAGGTACAAGCCTGCAGTATACACCCATACTAGTTCTACCATAAGGTTATCTAATTCTCTCTTTCTGAGTTACAGATCACTGAGCAGCTAATTGTAATTTTCAGTCCCATTCACATTTGCCCACAGAACAGAATATTCTGTTAACAGTTCTTGGTCCACTGTAGGTAGTTTTTTTAAGGATATTTCTAAATACTAACCTACCAATATTTGGAAAATTCAGCTTTCCATTTTCACAAGCCATAGCATCTATCAGCTTACTAAATACTTTCAGTATCTATCACTTAACCCTTTAATGTCTGAAATGCATCTTCTGTAAAACAGAAACAAAATAATGAAAATGAGTGTGGCACACCTAAAACAAGACAAATGTTAGGCCTATCAAACTCATTCCAAGGGTAGTAATGCCAAAAGCAGAGAGCTGAACCCAGATTTGCTCAAAACTCATACCTTTTCCATTACAATATCCTTGTAGGCACTAGTCTCAGCTGTCATCCAGGATTTAAGGCAATTTACTAAAAACTTCTGGGCTCCATCTTTAAAAATAAGTGACTTGTTATAAGTGGCGGCACACACTTTTAATCCCAATACTCCGGAGGCTCTGAGTTTGAGGCCAGCCTGGTCTACAGATTGAGTTCCAAGACAGTCAAATCAGAGCTACATAGTGAAACCCTATCTGAAAAAAAAACCAAAAAAACAGCGACCTTCCTTGTGAGATTTAGGGAAAGTAATTTGTACAAATAACAAACTCAATCTAAACAAACCCTGTTTCCCTGCCTTCTGGGGGGGGAACCCCCCACAAAATAACTCCATGCTTTTAAAACTAAAGCCTCCGATATCTGATAGATAAGCTGGGTTACTTTTGTGCCTAACAAACTACAGTGTCCGTGTGCTGAGCAGCAGGCTCCTCCATAAACACCACAGTGAGGTACTAATACCTGAATGTTGACTTTCTAAAATCAATGACTGGCTAGCAATACAAAAGAATGAATTCCACCCACCACCACAGGTTGTCCGAGTCATAAAAAGGACTAACCAACATCTGTTTGACTTGAAAAGGGCTATCAAAATGATTAGGCTAGTTACTATCTTAAAGTAAGACTGTTTTAGGAAAGAGAATTGAAAGTCCTAGGCTTGTTTTGTAACTAAGGACTGATGGTTTTCCAGTGAGTAAATGAAGTCCAAACCACCTGACATTGAACATTTCCAAAGCTACATTTACCCTTCATCTAAGCTATTCGCAACAAAGTTTTTCCAAGGATAATAGAGATTCTCAGAAGAGCAATACGAACAAAAATAACTAAAACGTACAATTATTTTATCAAAAGCGAGCCTTGGTAAGAAGGTTCAAGTTTAACAGAGATGGGCATCGTAAAATTATTCTCGTTATTCAACTAACTTCCTCCACATTTACATATGCCTCTCATATTTCACACTAGCCCGACCTAGCATAAGAGTGAACTTCCAGGAGCACCAAAGCTTAAGGAAACTGTCCAATCCATCCTTCAGACTACTAACACTTAAGTGTGTAGGAACACAAGGCAGTAGACTGTTTAAAATCTCCGCTGATAAAAATGTTTTGGATCGAAAGTCAATCCTAAGGCTAACCTCTAACCTCCCTTTCGGATTCAATCTCCTAGACAAACCCTTGGTCGTTTAAAAAAAAAAAAGAGTAAGATAAATTCAGCGCTATCATTAGGAAACTGTCGTTCTACCCCTCCCCCAATACATCCACAACTTTGGAAAACTTTGTTCCCAGGCTTTCTAAACCCCTACGCAGAAGCTTCCCCGAACCTCTCCCGATGGGAAAGACGCCTTCACCCGGAGGGTCTCTTTTTTTTTCTTTCTTTCTTTCTTTGCTTTAATTTTAGCCTTGTTCACTGATAAACCCTTCCCAAAAGACCTTTAAAAAAAAAGAAAATAGAGAAAAAAGGCAAGAGCAGGATCTACTGTACCTGGGCGTTGGCTTCGTAGAGTTTGTGCTCGGTGGAGACGTGGTGCCTCAGGAGCAGGGTTTTCTTGTAGTTGCGGGTCCCTCGCGAAAGCTCATCGTGCCCCAGCTGGGGAAGGTCCACGCTGCCCCCGTCCTTGGGGGTCTTTTGGCACCAGCCGCAAAACATAAGGCCAGTATCCTTGGAGTACCGCAGCCAAGGGAAGTCCTTGAGCCAAGAGGGCTGGAAGGAGCACTGGAGCTTCTGCATGAGGGACTTGGGCCTCGCGAGCGGGAAGTGCTGGACAGTCTCTCCGTCGCCAGCTCCCACTCCGCTGCCCTCCGCTTCGTCCCCGCCATCGCCTCCCGACCGCCTGCTGCTGCTGCAGCTGCCGCCTTCCGCCCCACTGCCGTCGCCCGGGCTCGCCCCCTCCTCCTCTTCCTCGGTGCTGTCGCTCAGGGACGCGCCGTCCTGCATCAACTCCTTCCCCTCCAGCGCGTCCAGCTCCAGATCCACGGCGGCCGGCCCTCGCCCATTGAAATGCCTGAGGGGCCACGCCGAGGTCTCCGGGCGGCCGCGGCTGCTGCCATTGTTGCCGAGACCCCCGGCGCCTCCCCCGCGGAAGGCCAGAGTCCGACGGTTCCTTTCCGCTAGCAGGGGGCCCCCCGCGCCGCCGCCCAGCGAGGCGGGGCCGCCAGCGTCCTGAGGGAGCAGCAACTCCTTGGCGTCCTCGGCGGCCGCCCCGGCGGAGGCCTCCGAGTCTTGGGGCTCCAGGCCCTCCGATTCCATTTCCTCGTCGGCCCCGCGCCCATTGGGCTGCAGCGGCGCGGGCGGCGCGGGCTGTCGCGGCTGCGGCTGCGGAGGCCAAGCAGAGGCCTCCCCGCCAGCGTTATTGTTCGTGGGGCCGCCACCGCCACCGCCGCCGCCGGTGACCAACCCGCCTCCTCGGAACGCCAGCGTCCTGCGGTTCATTTCACTGAACGACATGGCGCGCGCCGCCGCCGCCGCCCGGTGCCTCGGCTCGCACCCGGCCTCGGGCCGCGTCCCGCGCGCTCGCCGCGGCTCCCCCAACGTCTCACCCCCGCCCCCGCCCCCGGCGCTGCTGCGCTGCGCTGCGCTCCCGCCGGCCCGGCCTCACCCTCCCGCCGGCTCTGCTCGCGCTCGCTCCCGGGGCCGCCGCACGCGTCCGCCGCCGCCGCCGCTGTCCCGGCCGCGTCCTCTCCACCCCCGCCCCGCCGCGCTCCGGGCAGCGTCCCGCGCGGGAGAGGTGGGCGGGCGGCGGAGCGGCGAGCCGGGGCGCGTGCGGCCTTCGAAGTTGAGGAGGAGTGCGGGCGCCCCTCCGCTGCCCCGCTTCAGCGCCGCGCGCACACACCGGCCCGCCAACAGCTCTCCGTCCTCGGGGGGAGCCGCGCCGCCGCCGCCGGCTTCCGAGGCGCAGACGCGAGAGGCGCGCTAAGCCTCTGGGCTCCGCCACATAGCGAGCCGACAATAAAGCCGGCGGAGCGTTTCCGTCCGACCAGGCCCTGGCGGAGGTCGAATGGCAAATGAACAACGGACCGTGCGCCCACAATGCACCGGGGTAGCAGTAACCGCTGGAGGGGGAGAGGGTGGGGGCCGGCCGGGGGAGGGGGCGGGCTGGGCCGGGCTGGGCTGGGCTGGGCCGGGGGCGCCCGGGGACCGGGAAAGGGGCCGGCCGCTCGGGCCTGCGGGCGGGGGTGCGGCCGCGGGAAGGAAGCGGGCGGCGAGCGGCCGCGGGCGGGGCGCGGGGCCGGGGTCTCGGGGCGGGGCCGGCTCGGCCAGGACAAACAGCTGGCGGGTGTCAGGGACCGCCTCGCCGCCGCGCGCCCCTGCGCTCGGTGCCCTGCTGTCGCCACGACTTCACCTGGGACTCCCGGAGTAACTGCGGTGGCAGCGCGCCCCGGCCTTGTCATCTACTGGGGGGGTGGGTGGCCGTGCCCGAGGAAGTGAACTTATTTTGTTCCTTCACAAAAGACTGGACCAGGCGGTGCCGTCCTCGCGAGGACACCTCCTTGGGCGCATTGTGTGCGCCGGGCAGCACCTCTGGCCCCGGGCAATGATCGTTTCACAGAAAATGCACCGCCCCGAGTGTCTTATTGCTGTGATGAAATGGAAATTTAAATAAAAAGGTCGAACACGTGCGTTCACTGGGAAGTATTGACATGGGTGTTACATCACCAGCAGCCAATCAGATAACTCCGGTAGTGTTTATACTTCTACAACCACCTTGTGAGTATTACAGTATGTCATAGCGTTATAAATATTAGGCAGGGTTTTCCCCACGAGCGAGCGGGAGGAGTCAGCTGCTGCGGGCGCTGCGTGCGGCTGCGAGGAGAGTGCAGCTCCAAAGACAGCCGGAGCAGATGAGAATTAATGTTTAGGACTTTGAGAAGGAGCTGTTGGCATCGCGTGTGGAATTTAGAGCGGTTAGAACGGTCTAAGCTGGAAATGAACCTCCCGTAGTTGTATTAGTCGAGTTTTTTCAGGGAGAGGCTTGCCAATTAAGAACCCTTAAACGTACCCTCCCCCTTAATTATGCTGTCTTTGGAAAACATTAACGCCTTTAGGCTTTTACTGATTTACAAAGTGATACTTGATTTTGTTGGTTGGTTGGTTAGTTGGTTTTTCGAGACAGGGTTTCTCTGTTGCTTTGGAGGCTGCCCTGGAAGTAGCCTCTTGTAGACCAGGCTGGTCTTGAACTCACAGAGATCCGCCTGCCTCTGCCTCCCGAGTACTTTGCTGGGATTAAAGGTGTGGGCCACCACCACCCCACCCGGCCCTGGAATTCTTTCATTGTTGGGGTTTTTTATTGTAGTTGTTTGTTTGTTTGTTTGTTTGTTTTTGTATGACAGGGTTTCTCAATGTAAGCCTTGGAACTCACTCTGTAGACCAGGCTGGTCTTGCTGGAGTTCAGAGATCGTTTCCTGAGTGCTGGGATTAAAGGCTTGCGCCATCACCGACTGGTGTGATATTTGTTTTTATTTACTTATTTATTTTTTATTTGGGATTTTTTTTTTTTGAAACGGATCTTCCAAGACGCGGGCGGATCTCTGACTTCCAGACCAGCCTGGTCTACATGGTTCATTTCCAAGTTAGCCATGGATACACACCGAGATCTCGTCTCACAATAAAAGAAACAGGGCCCTGCTGTCTATCTAACTCAGGCTGATCTCCTGCTACAGGGGATTTGACAGCTCTTCGGTCCCTAGACACCAGGAAGCACATGGTGTAAAGACATACATGCAGGCAGTACACATATGCACATATTTTTAAAGCCATGTGTTACAATTCTCCGAAGTGTTATAAATTAGTTTGCTAATACGTTGGGAGGGACTAGGGGAGTGAGTTTGAGACAGGGTTTCTCTGTAGCTTTGGAACCTACCCTGGAAATTGCTAGGTAGACCAGAATGGTCTTGAACTCACAGAGATCTGCCTGCCTCCCCAGTGTTGGGACTAAAGATGCATACCACCACCACCTGGTTGAGGTAGCTTTCTGTGTCACCCCACTGGCTTTGAATTCATTCTGCCTCAGCTTCCATAGTTTTGTCAGATGGAGTTTTTGGTTTGCTTGTTTAGTGGAGGTCTCACTTCATACCTCTGGCTGTCCTAGAACTCAGTGTGTAGATCAGACTGCCTTCTGACTCATGCAATCCTGCCTCACTTGAGTGCTGGAAGTCAAGGTGAGAGCCCACTATACCCAGTTGTCTTAGCGTTTTTAATTGAACTAGTGTGTTGATTTTAATTTGTCAAAGCCACTGTGACTTCTCACCTTTATCTCAGTACCTGGTGTATTGCAGTTTTGTATATGAAATAAAGTTGGTTAATTCTAATGTGAGCTTTTGTTTATTTCCATAAGTGTGTCTATCACCTCTAACTGACAACATACTTCCAATGTGAAGACTGACAGGACTGCAATTCCACAAAAAGCCATGGAGCTTGAGTTATCTTCCCAGCAATAACAACATCTACTTATGTTGTCACTGGTCATCAGATGCTATAGGCCACTTATTCTGATAAGGGTCCTCGGGCTGATACTGTTGGTGAATTCTGGTTGTTGATTTTAAGACAGAACTGTTGTCTGTCTCTAAAACCTAAAGGAGATGAGAAACCTTAAAGGAATCAGAAACAGATCTGTACCTCCAAATACCCTGTGCCAAGGGAACTTTGAATCACAAGGGGATCTCCTCTGAAAATGGAGTTTTTAGGAATTTCCCCACCCCTTCCAGTCTCCCACTAACAGGCAGGGACCTGTTCTCCCCTGTAGCCCCCATACTGTTAGGGTTCTGCCATATTCAAGGGAATTCCCCCCGATGCTTACCAGGGGAACCCCTGAAGAATGGGGCAATCCCAAGTGCTTTGTCCCCTAACTTCATCTAAGCTATGTAAAACTTGTGGAGCTGATGTTAGTGCTGTCCCCGTGGGTCTGATAGGGATGAACCACCAACCTGCCTTAGCTGATGCTTGGCCAGGCTGTCCATCAGTGCCTCGGTACAGGGCTTTTGACCTCAGCACTTGCCTATTGAGACTTCAGAAACAGTGGCCCAGTAAGATGAACATCACTTAATTGTACAAGCCAATAGTGTAACACCTTGAGAAATGACTTACCTCATCTTTCCTCAACCTACTTCAGTGAACTTTTCTTGTGTATACTCTGTTTTGTTTTGGTATTTATTTATTTTTGAGACAGGGTTTCTCTGTGTTGCAGCATTTTTTGTTGTTTTTGGTGGTGGTGGTTTTTTGAGACAGGGTTTCCCTGTGTAGCTTTGAAGTCTGTCCTGGAACTAGCTCTTTTTTGTTTTTTTGTTTTGTTTTTTTTTTGTTTTGTCTTGTTTTTTGGAGACAGGGTTTCTCTGTATTTTTTTTTGAGCCTATCCTGGAACTCGCTCTGTAGACCAGGCTGGTCTTGAACTCACAGAGATCCGACTGCCTCTGCCTCCCAAGTGCTGGGATTAAAGATGTGTATAACCAGTGCCCGGCCAGGACATTGTTTTATTGTGGGGTTTTTGTTTGTTTGTTTGTTTGTTTTGCCACTTTAAGCAACTCATTGAATTTTTTTCCCATTATAAACAATTCTTTATCTTTTTCTTGTCTCTTTATTGTTTTTATTTTTGAGGTAGGGCCTCAAATACCCAGGATGCCTCTACCTTCCAAGTACTAGCCCCATCATGCCCAGTTAGCCTCTAAACAACTCCTTAATAAACACCCTTGAAAGAAAAACCCTGCGTGTAATGTTTTATTTATTTACTTATTTATATTTGTGGTGCTAGGGATGGAGCCCAGGGCCTCCAACGTGCTAGCACTCTGCCAAATGAGCTAAATTCCCAAGCCCCTGTTCTGTCTCCTTAAGATGAGTGCTGAAGACACACACACACACACACAGTTTTCTGCGTGTATGTGAGAGTGTGTTTACGTGCATTTCCTATCTTTATCTAATGCGCATGTGTGTATCACAGAGTGTGTAGAGGTCAAAAGATAGCTTGCTGGGATTGCCAAGTAATGCAACTTCTTTTGTTATTTATTTTTGTTTGTTTTTTACAGGGTCTTTTATTGGCCAGGAATTTACGAAGTAGGGTGGACTGGCTGGCCAGTAAGCCCCAGGCTTTGCCTGCCTCTGCACAGGAATTACAAGCATACCCTAACAGGGCCTCGCCACCACACCTGTCTTTCTTGATGTGAGCTCCGGGGATCCACCTCACCTGGGAGGCTAAGACACGAGGTGCTGGAAGTTCAAGGCCAGCCTAGGCTACAGAGACTGTCTCAGAGACACTCCCACCCGGGAAAACCAACCAAGCATCACTTACTAAGAGCCCTAAAGGGAAGTATACATATATCTCAAAAGCTGGTTCACTGATTTACAAAGGACCACTGCAATATTTAAAACACAGGCTGCTTTTCCAAAGGAACAGACTTCGGTCCCCAGCTCCCACTGTGGGTGCCCCACAGCTGCCTGTAACCCCAGCTCCAGGGGATCTGATGGACCGCCTGCACTCAGGTGAGACCCATTTATGTGTAAAAAAAAGTTAAATCTTAACAAAATATCTTCTTACAAAAACGGTGGTGTGATTAGGTCCTACAGAAAGAAAGAGCCCTGACCGTACTGTGCCAAATTTGTAATCCCAGTGCTGGCAAGGGGAGGCTTCGAGGATGATCAGCAGTTCGGGGTCCGTCTCAACTATGTGAACCATGGCTACATGAAACCCTGTTTAAATAATAAGTAAATGTGGCTGTGGTGTCACTGGCTGGCTCTGGGAGGTTGGCTTTTCAAATAAAATTGTTTTCTGTAGTCTAGTGTCTGGATGGATGGATAGATAAGCAGAAAGATCGACAGACAGAAGACAGACATTTTGATGTAATTGCAGGTTAGCCAGAGTGCTTCTTATACATTAAAAATAAAAATAATGGGCCGGGCGTTGGTGGCGCACGCCTTTAATCCCAGCACTTGGGAGGCAGAGGCAGGTGGATCTCTGTGAGTTCGAGGCCAGCCTGGTCTACAAAGTGAGTTCCAGGACAGCCTCCAAAACAATACAGAGAAACCCTGTCTGGAAAAACCAAAAAAAAACAAAAAAAAAAACAAAATAAAATAAAATAAAAATAATGATAAAACTGCCTTCATTTTGGAAGAAGATTAACAGTTAACCTCAGTCATCATTGATTTTCCCAAGGACCTTTTTGTGAAAAGGTCCTGTTCCTTCCTTTTCTCCACTAGTTAGGAACCAGTTGTATCCTGTTGACCCCCACAAAAGAACATGTAAAAGAGGCAAAACTAAAAACAATAGTTCTCTCTTCTGGGAGAACTCTTAATTCCCTTAAAGCATTACTTATCTTGCAAAGCTTAAGTTTACATGCATATTTTCAGGGGAACATCACAAAGTACTCTTCTAGCCCGCGCCTTTTAATCCATTCTCTACAGAAGCTAGTAATCTTTTCAAAATGCAAATGTGATCTTGTCACCCACCCATGCACGATCCTGATCCCTTCATTCCTTAAACCCTACAAGGTTTCCATTATCTTTCCATGGCCAGCATATCAAAAATGCTTTAAAGAGCTAACATGGCATCGCATGTCTGTAATTCCAGCCTTTGGGAATCTGAGGCAGGAGGATGGCCAGCTGTGGCTAAACAGGAAGACCCTGTTTCAAGACAACAGACAACCCCCATGTCTCCATACACAAATAAACAGCACCTTATCGTTGAATTCATGTTTTCAGTTTCAATGTGGAATTAAAAGGGGTCGGTGAGACAGCTCAGTAAATAAAAGCCTCACATTGCTAATATGATGACCCAAGGACTGAGTTAATCCTCAGAACCCATTCCATGGTGGGAAAGAGCCAGCTCCCTCCCTAATGCTGTCCTCTTATGTCTTACACATGCAGTGGGACACAAGTATGCCTCCTCACATAGAACAATAACTTTTCATTAAAAAATTAAAAGTCTAAATTAAAAACTTAACATTAAAATTTTAAAGCTGGACCTGGAGAGATAGCTCAGTGATTATGAGCACTGACTACTCTTCCGGAGGACCAGGGTTCAATTCCCAACACCCATATGTTGGTGGATACAGTTCCTCCAGTTTACTATGATAATTCCAGTGTGGTCATAATATCTCTTCCCAGACAGATTAGATAATTTTTTAGTGAAAATAATTATCATAATAATCATTGTTTCTCTCTCTCTCTCTCATTTCTCTTGGTAGCTTTGGAGCCTGTCCTGGAACTCACTCTATTGGTTTTTTGTTGTTGTTGTTGTTGTTTTTTGAGACAGGGTTTCTTTGTAGCTTTGGAGGCTGTCCTGGAACTCTCTCTGTAGACCAGGCTGCCCTTGAACTCACAGGAATCCACCTGCCTCTGCCTCCTGAGTGTTGGGATTAAAGTCGTGCACCACCAACACCCAGCTTGGAACTCACTCTATAGATCAGGCTGGCTTTGAACTCACAGAGACCTGCCTGCCTCTGCCTCCCAAGTGCAGCATGTGGCCACTCATCATGTATCTTTAACTGCCTCAAACTCAGGCTCCTCTTGCCACACCTCCCAACTGGGAGGATTACAGGGATAATCTCACCATGTTTAGCCACATTATTGATTTCTATTAATCAGGAGACTGAACATTAAGATTTCTTCACAGCTGGGCGGTGGTGGCGCACGCCTTTAATCCCAGCACTCGGGAGGCAGAGGCAGGCGGATCTCCTCCAAAACAATACAGAGAAACCCTGTCTCGTAAAACCAAAAAAAAAAAAAAAAAGATTTCTTCACAGAAATTAAAAAAAAAGAATCTTCACAGATACTGTTTGGCTCATAGACTGGCTGCCTGGGGAGTTAACTTGGTTCTTTCCAGTAGCCACAGATGCCACGGTAGTTCTTTCTCATGAATTCCTAAGTGCAAACCAGTTACCTTTGTAAAGCTCAGGTAAGAAACCATGGAAGAGAAGAAGAGCGTGCAGTGGATGACAAAGTCTACACTTTCTACACAAGTTCATGCAGCACTTAATGGAGTCTTTCATCCTAAACAGGGTGGCTCCTGTCTCCCTGAATTTGCAGATAATGTTACAATTTAAAAAAAAATAGAGACAAAGAAAATACTACACTTCAAGGTTTGGTGGTACAAGTTTATAATCCCATCACTCCAGAGGCTGAAGCACAAAGCTATGCAGCACAACCCCACCCTCCAAAGCAACAAAAACCAATACTAAGCAGAAAGAGAATCATAGTGTTTGCTCTCCACCTATCTTACATGTAGACCCATAGAAAGCAAAACAAAGCAAAAAACCAACAAAACAAAAACAACCAGCATGGAAACAGCACAAAAACAGCCATGGAGACAAACAGAATAGAATAAAAGGACCCAGAAATAAACCCATAGTAGCTATCACCATCTGATCTTACTTATTAGTTTACTATTTTAGACAAGGTCTCATGTAGTCCAGGCTAGCCTTGAACACATTATGTAGCCAAGGGTGACTTTCAGTTTCTGATTTTCCTGTCTCCACCTCTCAAAAGCTAGAATATAGGTGTGGACACACCACTGTCCCTTGCTTAATTTTTTTATTCTTTTTGTAAACTCACAAATTCCAAACTCTGACAGAACAGTGGCCTAGGAGCAAGGTTTGTTGTTGTTTTGCTTTGTTTGTTTTGTTTTCTTGCTATGTGGACCAATCTGACCTCAAATTTGTAAGATCTATCTGCCTGTGCTGCCTACATGTTGGCATATGCCACCACGTCCAGCTAAAGAAAATGTTTTATACAATAAAATGTTCTGGGCCCAATGAGGAGTAGAAACAGCCAGCTTACCACAGTTTACTGCACATAGTCATCAAGTCACTTAAAGCCTTTTCTGAGCTCTACTGTGTATCAGAAGTCAGGACTTAGGGCTGTTGAGACAACTCAGCCTGTAAAGACACTTGCTGCACCGGCTGGTGACCTGAACTCCATCCCCAGGACCCACAGGGAGGAAGGAGAGATCCCACTCCTACAAGCTGTCCCCTCTACGTGCATGCTTGTGTATGCTCCATCCCACAATAGATGCAACCTGTTGTTTTCTAAAGGATGTCATAAATACGACTGTCCCAACTCCCTAGAAGCTTGAACTTCACTAAAGATGGGAAACATCCAAATCAGTAATGACAGAGAGCTAGCTCGCTGATAAGAGTACTTTCCTGTACTTGAGACTCTGGGTTCCATCGCCAACAGCAAAAATAATCATGGAGGTTAAATGTTAATAGACTTATATATAAGTTGCTATGGAAACATGGACTGCTGCTAAGCTAGTAGCTTGAAAAATGAAATACTCCCTTTTCTTCTTTTTGGAGACAGAGTCTCCCTCTGTAACTCGAGCCAGCCTGAACTTTACTATGTGGCACACCTGAATTCAGAGCAGCGCTCCTGCCTCAGCCTCCTAGATGCTGGGATTACAGGCGTGAGTTACTGTACCCAGATCAGAAAGAAAGCCTTGAAGCCGAGTTTTTAGATACGAGTGGAATTTGTTAAGTTACAAGCTATTTCAAACATAAGCAAATGTTACGGCGGCCAGTGTATTTGGAGTGTAGGAGAAACACTTGAGGTGATCAAGTACAAGAGACTAACAAGGGACTTGGGATTGGAGTCCAGTGACAGAAAGTTTGCCTCGAATGCAGGAAGCCCTGGGTTCAGTCCAAAATAAAACAATAAAGGCTTTGATTTTACCCTGGTAAGATAAAGTGAGGAAACTGAAGGGTTTTTAAACACAGGACTGACGGCATCAGCCGCCCTTACGGATATCTCTTTCATTCATACTAATTATATGGTCATCAATCAATTCCATTTCCAACTTGACCTTGATGTAGATTCACTTGCCAACAAGAAACTTCCATTGGAAACGAGGTATGTTGCCATGCTACGTTTGTTGATTTGAAAAGGAATTTAGCAACTGTGTCTTCTAACTTAGTTTAAGATGTTGTACATGAATCTCATATGTTTCAGAGTTGATCATCAGGCACAGTTTAGAGGGCTGGGCCTGACCTGTAGATCTGAGAAACATAACACTGACCCCCACTGCTTCTAGTCCTGCCTAAGAAGCTAGAGACTCAGTGGATACCTCCTCATGGTATCTGAGAATTCTCTAGTCTCTTGTCTTCTTTCTCCTGTCTCTTCTTAATTGTGCGTGTGGTACTAACCTAGTGACTCTCACACACTAGGCAGGACCCTTACAGCTCAACAATCAGAACAGCAATAATTTCATAAGATGGCAGTCATACTTTAAAAGTCGTTAATGTGGCACATTTAGGAGGCAGAGTCAGGAAGATAGGGTGTTCAAGGTCATTTTCAGCTACCTGGAGAGTTCAGGTCCAGCCTGTGATCCTGACTTAAGGGGGAGGAGGGCCTATATGCAAAAGACATATGAAAATCTGCAATTTTGTAAGCTACTTAAGCATAATTCAACAATTTAATGCATAATGATAAATGAACAGCAATAACACCTAAAGTCATTAACCCAACTTCCGATTAGTGAAGGTGGACCTCTTCATGACCCACCCACATAAGGCTCCCCACAAACACTTGACCTCCTCTCCCAGCAGGACTCACAGACCTGCTATGCACTGCCTAGCACAGTGTGCACACTTACAGTACCAGCACTCTGGAGACTGAGGCAGGAGAATCTCAAGTTTGACAGTAGCCTGGCCTACGTAGTGAAACCCTGTCCACAAAGGAAATCAACACCCAAACTATACAGCTGTGCACCTGGCTGGGCCAGATAGTGGGAGGAGAAGAAAACACAATTGCAAGGTATCTGCCTTCAAATTTGTTTTGAGAGG